ATGCTCGATTTATGTCTTTTTTTGGTAATATTGATTAGGGTACTTGTCTAAATAACACTGATGTTAATTTGGCTTTAAATATTTTTTATGAATACGTTTATACAGCATTTGAATTTTTTGTTCCAATTAAAGTAATTTTTCATAATAAATATCCGTCTTGGTTTAGCCAAGACTTAAAGCGTATTACTTGTTTTAAAAAAATTGCGCATAGGAGGTATAAACAAAATAGTAGGGGAGGATGGGGCAAGGATAGTTAGGTAAGATATTTTTGGATCTAGCCGTGAAATTTAAACTGGCATCGGAAAAAGAATAGTATCGTTGGAAAGCCTGTTTATTTAGCTACAATTTTGCTATACATTGTTTTCTTGTAGATTGCAATGCCTTCGAGATAATATTGGAAAAGTAAAAAAAAATTGTTAACTATCCTTGCCCCACTAGTGGGGCAAAGATAGTTGAAAATTTTTTTTACTAAGAATGATACAAAAAATCATGAAATTTGATTTTCCATTGTTTCAAGGTATCGAATTATATTTGTCAAGAAATAACAATAAAAATTATTGTTCTAATTAAATCGAATCATGTTTAATACAACTTAGCAGTTAAGGATGATCATTTTTATCAAAAAAAACATGTTTTTTGTGAATTTCTCGAAAAACAAAAAAATTATTAAATCGCGATCCATAAAAAGCAATTAGCATTTCGTTTGCAATTAAAAAATTGTGTTAGCCAGACATTACCTTGTCATAAGTATTACAACAAGGCACTAACTAGTTTTGCCCCGTGAGCGCTTTTTTCGAATTATCACAAATTTTTAGTACAAAAAAATTTTTTTTTAAAAAAACGAATATGATATTCGTTTTCAGCACAAAATTTTACACCAGAAAACATTTACGCAACCAAATATATTTAATAAATTATATCCGCAAAAATAAGATTGAATAATAAAAATAAGGTGAAAATATTTTAGCAAAACTGAGATGTAACACAAATGGGCACGTAGCTTCTACAAATAGTGTCCCCGCAAGCTCAAATTTTTACTGTCATCTTTTGGTGTTAAGACGAGTGTACATGATAAATGACCCGTTTTTTTGACGAGCCGTTTCTGTATTAGAGCCACTAACTATCCTTGCCCCTTAACTATCCTTGCCCCTTAACTATCCTTGCCCCATCCTCCCCTACTAAATACAATTATAATACTTTCTCAAGCTTAAGGTCAGAGTGTAAAAAATTGTCAAAATTTTGCTACGATTTTTATATTGCGAACATTGAAAAATCATTGCTGATGATATCCCCCCTTCTTTCTTAAAATCTTGTCATGAGTTCTTTATTGAGCCACTTTATGTACTATTTAATATGTCACTAAAGTCGTGAATTTTTCCCTCTGAATGGACAAAAGGTGTTCTTGTTCCAGTTTATAAATCTGGTAACAAAAACGATATATCGAATTACAGACATGGCTTTATGAAGAAACGTTCAAGAATTACAAATCTAACATGTTTAACTAAATTTTTATTTGAAAACGTTGGGAATGGCAAACAAGTTGATGTAATATACACTGATTTCTCTAAGGCATTTAATAAAGTTGATCATTGCATACTACTAGATATACTAGACACATTTGGATTCACTCGCGGGTTTATATTGTGATTCGGTAATTATCTTAAAGATCGTTACTTGTCTGTACGTGTAAATAACGAATACGCATTACCATTTATAGCTACTTCTGGTGTTCCTCAAGGATCTCACCTGGGACCTCTTCTCTTTTTGTTATACATTAATAATGTAGATAAGTCAATGTTACATTACAATTACTCATTATTTGCGGATGATATAAAAATCTATAAAGTTATTATGTGTAATGATGATTGTTCTGATGTACAAAATGATCTTAACAATCTTGTGAGATGGTCTGCCGATATAAGGCTTACTCTTAATGTTAAAAAATGTAGTGTAATATCTTTCTTTAGACATGAAAATCCAATTTTGTATAACTATGCTGTAGGCAGTGAACAATTGATTAGGGTTTTCAACCTGAGTGACTTGGGGGTCACTTTTTCATCTAATTTAAGGTTTGATACCCATATTGCTAATACTGTTAACGCGACACTTAAAGTGTTTGGCTCAATCCGAAGAAATGCGTGTCATTTTAAGAACATAGTGGTCTTAAAGTCATTATTTTTTGCGTTAGCCAGATCAAAATTAAAATTTGCAATAGCAATATGGGTTCTATACCAAGACTACCAATTGTTAAAACTAGAGCGTGTACAAAATAAATTTCTCCGTTTTGCAGCAAGACAAGTTGGTGTATATTACAACATACTAAGTCATGATTATACAGATTTAAGGAAAACACTAATGGTTCCAAAATTCTACTCCAGAATTATTTTTTTGGACCTATTACTATTGTTCAAAATAATTAACGGATTAATCGATTGTCCATCGATATTGTCAAGCATAAATTTTATTGTTCCTTCAAAAGGTTTAAGAAATCAAAAACTGTTCAGAGTTAAATTTAACAAATCTAATAACTATTTAGACAACAGAGTTATTAACAGAATTTGTACTAGGGGTAACAAGTACTATCACGCGTTAGACTTGTTTGGTATATCTTTAGGCAAATTCACAAACGACCTACGAAAATGAATTTTGTATTAGTCTATCTGTCACCTACATGATTTTGTCATTCTGTGATTACATTCATTATATCTCCTTATACTATTAAGTGCTTTTGCACTAAAGGGCATTTTTAACTTTTTTATTTGTAAGCCCGTACATTGTAATTAAATAATTAAAAATAAATAAATAAATATTTTTGATAAAATAATACATTATTTTACCAATAATTCCTTTTAAAATTAATTTTTTCAACTTTTTTTGATAAAAAAATTTCTTTTTTTTCACCAATATTTTTTTTAACAATATTTTTCAAAAAAAATAAATTTTTGTCACCAATATTATTGATAAAAAAATAAATTCTTATCAATTTTTGATTAAATAATAAATTGTTTTTACCAATATTTTTAATTAATATATTAATTTTTTTGACAAAATAATACATTTTTTCACCATTATTTCTGTTTAAAATAATACTTTTCAACTTTTTTTTTTATAAAAAATTTCATTCTTTTCACCAATATTTTTTATTAAAACATTAATTTTTTTGATAAAATAATATTTTTTTACCAATATTTCTGTTTAACAAATAAGAGTTTTGCTTTTAATAAAAAAATAAACAAAGAATTTAAAGAAAAGATAAATGAGTGCTTTCACCTACCTTCTAAAAAGCGCGGCTGTATTCATTTTATCGACAAAGATTGATAATAAACTGTAATAGATTGAAATTAATAAAAACATTAAATTTTTATAATTATGTAACATAAATCATCTTAAAATGCATAAAACTTATTGATTTTAATAATTATATCAATTTCATTATTTTTTATACATTTTAGACAGAATTTCAATCACAATCTCGTGTTCCACGAATGCTACGAATGCTTCGCGAATTTCGTGGAGCATTCGCATCATTCAATCCGCCAGGGTATGTTCAATAATTAATATTAATTAACAAAATTTCATTAATAGCATTTTAATACTGTGTCTAATGTAGTGGACTGCGTTAGAGCGCTGACCGAAGTGAAGCCGAGGTCTTTGCTGATTGAAGTGGGCATCAAAAAAATTTGCAAAAGATAAAAAACATGCAAAAAAAAAGAAAAAGTAATAATCATATGTGAAAAATGTCGTCTTTCTGACAAAGGATCTAACCACCTGTGTACATTTGTCCTATTAACCTCCAAGAAGTATTGTTTATTAAAGTTATACAGTTGACAAAAGGAAAGAAGTTATTTAGTTGAAAAATTAAAAATAGAGAAAAAACACTTCTTTAACTGCATTCTATTTATACATAAATTTGAAAAATAATTTAGTTATAAGGTTATTCATAGCCCATGTCATAACAAAAACCTTGAAATAAGCGTTGCTATGTGGTTGCTAAGCTAGCTGGCCACGAAATGTCCAGATTAATGTACGTGTATTATGTGAAGCATGTTTATCGGTTCCCAACCATTTTACTTTTGCGAGTCGTATATATGAATATTACAGTATGTACATTTAATGTTCTTTTAATTTATATTCCTTCTTTTTAAAAACAATTTAAAGTAATTTTTAAAAACTTTAAATAAACTATTCCTTTATAGTCCGAGAGCTAGCGACCAAATAGACCTTCTCATTTCATATCGGCTAAAAATTGGACTATAGTTTAATAAAAACATGTAAATGATAGAAACGCACCTTTGGCAGCCCGCCCTTGGGGCACGGGGTGGCGATACAGGGGTGAAAAGGTGAAAATTAACGTAACTTTTCCTCATTACATACCGATTAAAACCTATAGAAATCGAAAGTTTACAGCTAAACAAAGGTAAAAATGCACGTCTGTCAGTCTTGGGGTCTATAATCAGATATATGATTTTTCTCGCAGTGTTTATATTTTATGTTTATTTTTGTTGTAATACTGTACTCAATACTTTTCATAAAAAACAAAAAATTTTAATTTTCAACCTAAAAAGCCGATTTTCTAAAAAGCAGCTCGTTGAAATATGTATTATAATTTTTTTGCAAAATACTCAAAAAATTGCCCAGACAAATATTTTGTAAACACGTGTAAGCATCATAATAGCTCAGTGCAATTCCACTAGAAGAACTGCACCGAGCCGTAACTCCAGTCTTTAAAAGTGCTTAGGAAATGTTGAAAACAATTGTAATTCCATTTTTTCATTCAAGTACAAAATTTTCAATTTAAATTTTGTGGAAAATATTGACAATTTTTAATTAAATCTTTGCATAGTGAAAAACATTTCGTTTAAATAAATTTCATGTTGAATGTCAATTGTCAACATTGTAATGTTTGATCAGAAAACATAAAAAAAAAATTTAAGCGTGATCATTTAACTTGAAATGAAATATCTCATATGCAAATGGAAATAAATGCTTGTTCAACTAACACCAAATGCTCTTTCCATCATAACAGCTAAATAGTATTCTTTACGAGGAAACTTTCGTTGCGTAATCATCACAGAGTTGCAAATTCTACCAGCTTCTCCAGTTTGCTTCGTTATTAATAACTTCCCTAACATACTCTTGGCTAGGACTCTGGCTTCTTCTGGTCTGAAGCAAAAATTAAAAATAAAGACATAAAAATTTCAATATAATAATATTATTTAAAATTATAATTTTCAAATCATCAATATTAAAACTATCTAGAAAGATTGTTAAAAAGGTTTAAAAATGTACATTTTTATATATCATGGTGAGTAAGTATATAATTTAAATACATATATCTAAAGTTTGATAAATAAAGAGAATTAAAAAGTGTAAAATTTAAAAATTAGTTGTTACCCAGCAAACATGTTCTATAAATGTTCTATAACAGTGAAGTCACAATTTTACACAACATTTTTGTTACAAGCTGGTTTTGAATTATTGTAATAAAATTCAATTCTATAAGAAAATATAATGTTTAAAAATCAAGTAAATAGATCTTCTTAAACTTCTTTGATTTATTTAAGTAAATTTAAGATTTACACATTTTACTGATCATTTAAATATTAATCATAATTATTTTTACTTTTTTTGAGCCAACATTCACGGTTTGCATACGCTAGGGAAGAATGTAGACATAAATTGTTTTAAATAATTTAAATTGTAAAATAAAATACCATTCCAATGAGCCCAAGAACGTTAAAAAATATTAATTTTTTCCAGAGACATAAAAAATATAGTAAAAACATTGAAAATTTTGTTTTTTCTTAGATATCTAATTGAAAAATTAACATATTCTCTTTATCAAGGTGTCATTTCTTTCAGAATTATATTAGCTTTCAGAAAATAAAAAAGAAAAATTTTTAGTTTTAATATTTTTGAAGATTTAAATCGTTTTATAGTCATCAAAAAAGCAGAAACATTTAAAAAAATTAATTTTTGTCATTGTAAATTTAACTTTGTTTGGTAAAAAACATATTTTTTGCATAAAAACAAATCGATTAACATACATAAAGTTCATAATTTACTGAAATCTATAGATTAAATCATTTTTTTGAGTTTTTGAAAAAAATCGTTTTGTGTATTTTTTGAAATAACTTTTTTGTTTCTAGAAATTTTAATTAATGCTTGTCAAGATTGTATTCCTGGCATAAAAAAAATCGATTGATGTATATGAGGCAAAATTTCTCAACTGTTCCCATCTCAAAAATTAATTTCTCATGATTGAGTTGATACTTGGCTGAAGTATACTCCTGGTGGACCTACATTCAACCACATGTAAAAAAGAAGTTAAAAAAAAGTTAGGTAGGCAGGTTCGAATCCCGCGGAAGCGTATTCCGAATTTTAATAACGACAAAATAAAATCAGCGGCGGTAAACTGCGCCAAGAAATTTTTACCTACTTAATTTAATAAAATTTTTCCGTTTTTATACCAACCTGTAAATTGCGCCGTAGCTTTTTTTGAGAGACTTGCGTTGTCAAAATTAAAAAATTAAAATAAATTCACCTATCATTGAATAAAAAAGCCTTGCGTTAAACAAAAAATATAAAAAAATGTCACTTGGAACAATAAATCAATGTATATATAATTCATCGATTTTATCACATTTAATTAGTATTGTTATTTTCTGCAATCACTGAATATAAGTTGAAGTTAATAAATATCATATTATTTCTATATCTGTATTGCCCTACGTTTATTTTAAAAGGAATTCAGTGGAATAACGATTTGAAAAATAATTCGAACTTTCTTTATATATTTATCCTGAACGCAAGTGACAACCGCGGCGCAATTTACATGTTAGATTATATACTCATCTGATAAAGTTTGGTAAAATTCGGGTCAACCCGGTGCAGTTTACATACGACCGATAAAATTGTGTATGCTATGTGTTAGTGCGTATATAAGATAGTAATAGGTACAGGTAAGGGGAGTTTACGGTGATTTTGAGGTTTTTTTCAAAGATTTTTTTTGTAGTAAAATAAATAGGGTAACTGCACCAGTGGTGGATCATGCACCAGTGGTGGATCAACTGCGAGAAAAATGGTCATTTGTGTTTACACGTTTGTAAGTAAATGAACCGCAAGTGTCGGTAATTGTTAAGAAAGTTATACAGATCAATATTACAATTTAAAAAAAATTTTAAATTCATCGCGAAGAAAGCAGGACAACAATTACTAAAGTGGTGACAGAAAACAAGAGTTTTCCTTAGCATGTAAGTTAAGAGTATATTTTGGAATAGAAAGCTTTGGAGCCATTTTAGGACAATTTTTAATTCTTTTCACAATAGGAGGCATTTCGTTTCATCCCCATAGAGCCCTGAGAACAATATTTACGTCTGTAAGTAGCGCGTGTCCATTGTTTTGGGGTGATCCACGACTGGAACCAAAAAAGTAACAAAATCTAGTGGTGGATCAGTCCTACTTTTCGCCTGTTGACGCATTGTGGACGCTCCACTTAACATGAAGTCGATTAGGTTATTCAATTTGGGTGGGGGAAATTCAAGATGGACGTTTGCCGAAAGACAAACAAACATTAGAAATGTATGGGACGAAATCGAATTTTATTAATATCTCGCTTAAATGATATTTTGTAATATAAGTTTATTAGGATTTTAGTTTCTATTTTTAATAGACTATTTAATAATAATTTTCTTCGAAAATTATTAACATAAAATTAAATTTTGTTTAATTGAAAATTTTATGAATTAAATTTTCTTCTAAAATTTTTAACATAAATTCAAATTTTAGTTTTGTTTAATTAAAAAATTTGTGAATTTAATTTTTTTTTTAAATTTTTAAGGTTAATTTAACTTTTAGTTTTGTTTTATTGAAAATTTTATGAGTTAAATTTTAGTTAACACTAATTCAAATGTTTATTAATTGTTAACACCTGATTTCAAATTGTTAAATTTTTGTTGAATTAAAATACCCAGAATTAATAAATGTTATTTATCATTGAAACTGAAGCTTTAAGAGTTTCTATTTATTTATTCCCAAAAATTCTAATAAAAAGATGATTAATTAACATTTATTCACATTATACCTATAGAAATGAAAGAGGAGGGGATATGGATAGGAAAGTGAATTTGAAAATCTGTCCGTAAAGCCTTATAAAAGTTGCAAAACGTCTCAGTCTCGTAATTTTGAAATGCAATGTTTTTTAGTATGATTTTTTAAGTGATCCACCACTGGAGCAATCTATAACCATGACTGGTGCAAACAGTGATCCAGAATAGGATCATTGACAAATTATCTTTGATGGAGCAATAAAGTAAACGTAGGTGTCAAAATCAAGTCTAACCTTGAAGGAAATGTCTATTGGAACTATCTGGTCCATAATTCTATAAAGAATAACCTCGAATTTGTCTAAAAGCAACCTATACAGAACTTCAAAGTCAAAATAAGAAAGTTAAGAGGCTTAACTGATCCACCACTGGTGCAGTTACCCTATTTATCACTTACAATTTTTCTATAATAAAATACATGTCTGAAAGGTTTGAAAACAATTTTTTTATTTTTTAATAAACTACCGAAAAATATTTATTGAAAAAAACGAATGTCAGACTTTTGAATTTTCGACAAAAATTTTCCAACATAAATAGTCTATAACTTTTTAAAACAATTATGGAATTTAAAAATCCTAGTTCACACGAAAACTACACATTTAAAGAACATACTGTCCAAATTTAAAGTTAATTGGTTGAATAGTTTTAAAATAAAAGTGTGACAAAGTTGAAAATATGCAGTTTCTAAAAAAACGCGTTGAAAGTTTTTTTAACAAGAAATTGAACAAAAATGTGATTCTTACTCAATCGGCGATTTCGGCTCCGTACATAGTTCCTTCTTCGGCTTGTATAAGATCATTTTCGAGTGATCTAATGCCAGTCAAGTAGCAGTGAGTGCCTCTTGGCCATTTACTGCTACCCGACTAGTATAAACGCGTCCCAGATAGCACCGAAGTTTGCAGGAAGTTAACGGCCGTAAGTTCGGAAGTTAACTTCCCAGAAGTTTTAAATGTCCTCAGAGTTTAAGTTAACACTGTTAACTTGCTGGAATTTATAAAGCTAAATTTGCCTCAAGTTTTTTTTATAAGTTTGCATAAATTCTTCAAGAAGTTTTTTCTGATAAATTAAAAAATTAAAAAAAAATATTTTTTTCAATATGTATGTAGGAGAGAGTGACAAACAGTGGGATACTTTTTTTCAGACATATTAATATGTCAATTTTATATATTTTTCAACACTTTTTGGTATTACCATAAAGTTTGAACTCTTTTCTACACAATGCACACATTCTATTAAGATTATATTGCGATTAAACAGAAAAATTTGAAGTTTTTAGAATTTGATACATTTTTCTTGTTTTGAAGGTTTGTGTTCAACAGTGGGACACCTATTATTAAATACCGAATAATTATTTCAAGAATAATATTCTGCTTCATACTTTGTAAATATATATTTTTTGCATTAAATAACGTTAACAAATGTTGCAAAACACTTATAATTTAATAATATTTTACATTTTTATAATAGGATGCAGTGGCGGATTAGGACACTTTGCCGCCCTAGGCAGCTGTCAAAATGACGCCCTTTTTACTTACCTTAAGTTTTTGAATTTACATAACTAATGCGCATATGGATACAAATGGCAGGGTTGCGGAATAAAACCAACTATATTCAAATCTTCTTCAATATTCTAACTATTTGAATTGTGTGAGAGAATCTTCTGATAAAACCTTGAATAATAGAGGAAAATATATTGTAAATAATTTTGAAAATAATGAACTGATACTTTTGAAGGGTATAACGATGAGTGATACACCAGCAAAGTATACGTTTTAAAGCACAATAGGAGCATGCGTGGTAAATTTGGGATGGTTTTCGATGGGTGCCCTGTCACTAGTCACAGACCGAAAAGTTAATCAGATAGCCACCTGCTCAGATCATTTCCCGGTTTCCTTATATTCAGCAGGCTCAATCCAAAATAAAATAAATAATTATGTCTCTAAATTTAAATTTGATATAGAAAAAGCTGCAGTATTTTTTAATAATATGGTATGGAGAGAAAAGATGGACGTTTTTTTGTGGTTTTAAACTTTCTCTGAAATAAAAAATGATTTCGGG